AAAAAAACTAAACTTTTATAATTACACAAATAATATGAAAATGATATTAACATCACATTTTCATTGCATTATTCTAGGGGGAAAGTTGCCAATGACATGGTATCCTCAAGATTATTTAGCCAAGGTGCCCATGACCGATATGGGCTTGCGAGCCGACCCATCGAGAGGCTATCCGGGTCGGACATATAGATTTTACAAAGGCCAAGTCGTATTCCCATTTGGGTACGGGCTAAGTTATACTAGCTTCAAGCACACTATAGCCGACGGCCCAACAAAACTTTCGATCCCTCTTACCAATTCTAAAGCTTATCAAAACACTACTCTATCGAATAAGGCTATTAGAGTTTCACACACGAACTGCGAAACCTCGACTTTAGAGGTGCACATTGATGTCGAAAATATCGGAGAAAGGGATGGGACCCACGCAGTTATGGTTTTCGCTTCAACCCCATCTATCGGAAAATATGGGCCCGAGAAAAAATTGGTCGCGTTCGAGAAGGTCCATGTAGTGTCCGGGTCAAAAGAACGCGTGAGAGTAGGTATTAGTCCGTGTAACCATTTGAGCATAGTCGACGAATTTGGAATTCGAAGGATTCCAATGGGTGACCATAATCTTCATTTTGGTGAAGACCTTATGCATACCATTACACTCCATACAAATGTGGATGAGATCAAGTCTTAATAAAATTTCAAAAGCTTGATTGTCATAGATATTTCAATATGATGATTGGAAAATACCATTGTTGATTTTATTTATCCAAGTGATTGCAATTGTAAAAAGAATGTAATAGCTACTTTCTTAAGGAAAGGAGAATATATGACTATATTAATAAAAATACATTCTGTATTATTAAATATCATGGTTTTGTTATAGAACAGTTAAAAATATAATATGTTCTTGCAGAAGTATATATATTTATTGAGAAATAGTGATATGAGTTAAAGTTAGTAACCAATAATAATTTGTTATTGACAATGGGCCAAAATGTCCGCCCTTGAATTTGCGCCGAATTAAGAAGATGAAAATGTCACCGATCAGTTCATACCTAATCCTAATTTATTGGTCGAGCATAGTTTTAAACTCGGCCCATGAAATCGACTCGGACAGATCTCTGGGTCATCGGGTTACCGGTTCAATCGCCAGGTCACCGAGTCAATTATTGAACCAGATAATTGATTTTTTTTTTTAAATTATATATATATAGTATTTTTGACATATAAATATACATAAAAGTAACAAAATAATGTTTTGCATATAAAATTTGTACATCAAAGTGTTAAAGATTTGCCAGAACGATACAATGTTAAAGAATTATATCTCACAATAAATATTTACTATATCAATATATTTACATAGTTTTTATTTTGTATATAAAAAATATTTTATAAAAGTAAATAATATATAAGGACCGGGTCAATAGCCCAGGTCGACCGGGTCAATACCGGGTTGGTTGGGTTTTGACCGGGTTCATTGTTACCCGGTCCAAATAGCCTACCCGGACCGGCTGGTTACTGGGTCGACCCGCCGGTCCGGTCCGGGTTGAAAAACATTAATGGTCGAGAGATATTAGGCTTATTGAAAATACATCTCGTAATTGAGCATCTCATGTTCACTTAACTTACTAGTGCGTGGCCCGTGCGATGCACGAGAAAACAATATTACGATTGTGTTATAAATTAAATATACAAATAAATTAATCAAGATTTACCCATCGTTTTAAAATTAAACCGTGTTGGACACAGTCGGACCGGATGGACCGAGAACCAGTTTATAATCAATCTAGTTCACTTGAATAAAATATTTGCTATTGAATCCGTCAGCACCAGTCGGTTGAACTGGTAGGATCGATACGATTTTCTAAATAAATTTTGCTATATTTAAAATTATTATAAATAAAATTAAATAAAATAGAGATTTACAAATTGTTTATCAATTAATTTAAACATTTAAATTTTTTAATTGTTTAGATATTTAAGAAACACATTTTATTCAAATTTATTACAAAAATTACTATATATATATATTAAAGCGTATTTTTAAAGAAAAAAAATAATTTGTATAATTTTTATAAATTAAATTGTATGATTGAATTGTATGATTATATTAAAATGTATTTATAAATTAAATTGTATGATTTTAAAAAAAATAAGAAAAATAATAAAACTATTATTTATGGGTTGCATTAAATGTTGACCTATTTTTTTATTACTAATTTTAGTAAATAGGATAACTTTTTTTTTTTGGTACAGGAAACTTCCGGTTTCTGGATCCACAGGGGAACCGACTAATCCGGAATCGAGCCGGGTAGGATCACAAGGGTGGCAAAGCTCTCCCTCAAAAGTTTTAACACTGCTGCATTTTCAGGGTTCGAACACTATAAATAGGATAACTTTTATATAAGTATAGATTTTAGACGAATCAAAAGTTCAAATTTTTGTTAGTTAGAAAAGGTTCTACTTTATGATGAGAGTAGAGTAGTAGAAAATTTAAAATATCCACAAAGCAAAAGCCGAAATAAGTACTTCAACTTCAAATCAACCCAAAAAGAAAGACAACCTTTGACTTCAAGACTTAAGTCTACTCATCTATTGTTGGAAAAATCAATTATAAAACTTGGGTTTGATCCGATTTTGACTGAATTTTTGATGGCTAAATATTTAATTTGAGTTGAATTAAATATTGTAGAAAAATTCTACGTTCCGAGTAGACACTCGTGGTATATTTATTTTCTCAAAACTGATTTTCGGTGAGTGAGAAATAAATTGTTAAAGTTAGCCATAAAAGGGCACGTAAAACGTTGGTTGTGGGATTTGAAGGGT